CAAGTTTCCAGGAAAGTTCCAAGGAGAGGACAGTCTCTGCGTGGGCTCCTGTTGTTAACATTGTCATTACTGCACATGGCAGGGGCTTGTACCCTGAGTCTATGGATGGTCTCCGGGGAGTCGACCCGCCCTGTGTTATGTTCATACCAACATACATTTCCCATGCAGAGCTATGTAGGTCAAGACTGCCCCTCTTGTTCCATCAATCCTTTTACTCTGCAATCTTGCTCTCGCGTTTTCTTTCCCTAATAAAGTTTTGGGCTGAGACCTCCCAGGCAGTGTGCACACCAGCGTGTGCACAGGCGGACGACACACTGCCCAAGGGCTCGGGGGTGTGCCTCCTCCGTACTCCCCGACCTGGGGGTTCAACCACACAGCAACATGCTTGCACTAAGGACAGACCTTTTAAGATCTTACTCTGTGAAGCTAGTCCCTACACCAGAATGGCCTGGGGTCCTTTTCCAGAAAAGTGTACATTGTTCATTACCCTCCGAAAAGATTTGGATGCAAGAAAAATTAAAACCCTCTAGGACAGACTGCCTACATATCAAACACTAACTTAATAATAAAGGCTACTTAAAAATATGACACATTGTTTTTTCCCCTTGAAATATTAAGGGATGAAAGGCCACAAGATCACTCTTTTTTTGTTTGTTTTTGTTTTGCGTCAAAGAATGCATTTATGTATTTGAAAACTTTTGTTTGTTTGTTTGCAGTACCAGGGATTGAACTCAGGATTTTGTGCTTGCCAGGCAGGTGCTTATTCTATTAAGCTATGCCCCTGGCCTGAGATGAGAACTTTCTAACTCAGTTTTACTTGTGAAGATTAAAAAATAATAGTATTAGAGATCTAAGATTCTGGAAGAACTGTCCTGGTATAAACTTCCTTTGATCAATCTTTTGAATATCTTATGTGTATTGGTTGTCACTGTCTAATGTTGGGGTTTTATTTCAGACTTACAGACTCCAGTCTGCTGTTAGAAGATTATTCTTCCAACTTGAGCCCCAAAACGAAGCGAGCAAAGCACAGTCTTCTATCTGGAGAGGAGAAGGAAAATCTGCCAAGTGCCTACATGGTGCCCATTTACTCCGGGAGGTGCGTGCACTTTCTCTTTCTGTGTAGACTGCTAGAAGTCAGGAATGAGTGGTGCCGAGAGTAACGGGAGCTACGGTCTGTTGAGCGCTCAGCCTACTCTGATTGCAGAAGCTCCTAGGACGCTCGCAGCCCTGCACCAAGAAAGCTGCGCTCCTTGCAAACAGAGGAAGCCAATCAGGACAGAAGAACACAGTGGCACCTGTGTGACTAGTTGGGATGGGCTATAAAGAAGGGTCAAGGGTATAAAACATCTGTAGTCCCAGCATGCTGGAAATGGAGGCAAGAAGATCACAAGTTTGAGCCACGCCTGGGCCCCTTACCACCTTGAGACACTGTCTCAAAATAATTTTTTTTTTTTAAAAAAGCGATAGGGTGGGGTTGGGGATGTAGCTCAAAGTGAAGCCCCTGGGTTCAATTCCCAATATTATCCTCTGCCCATAAAAAGACTAAAATGCTGAATGAGCTTAAAAAAAATAGAACTCCAGATGATAGGTTTAGGTAGCTGAAAAATATCTTGGCTCATTATTCACCAGGAGTAAATAAAATCATAATGTGAGTTACTGGCTCACATCTGGTCAACAGAGACATCACTGTTAATCTATTTCTAGATAAACTCTAAACTGAATCACACGACTCTGTTGCACCAGCTCTCTCACTCATAGAAGTGCATTTCAGTGGTACTAATGTTGGAAGGAACTTGAAAGAGATGTGTCTGAGACACCAGGAAGAGCCATCGGGCGTGTCCCTGGCCTGCCCTGGCTCTGCAGGGTCACAGTGACTGCAGGGTCATCCCTGTAACCACAGTGGTGCTCAAATCTTGTCCTCCCAGAGTCAGTGGTGCGGAAAGCCGGTCCTCCCTGGGGTCAGGAAGTGGTCGGTGATGCTGGTGGCCTCTTCCTCATGCCCTGTGGTCTCCTTTCCATTACCATTTCCAACTCCTTTCAGAGACCTATGGGATAACTGCCCTACATCCAGATAAGAAGGCCAGGGGAAAATAACATTTGGGGCTTAGCCTTTTATCTGGGGTTCCTGAGTCGTGAACATGAACTTCCAGAGAAGTACGTGTAATATGCTAGGTATGTGTGCCCAGAACCAGCCCTTCGCAGTGGTGTGACGGCCACCTACACAGGGCAGCAGATGCTGAGGGTGGAGAAGGAGGAGGAGGCGGAGAGGGAGGAGAAAGAGGAGGAAAAAGAAGAGGAGCAGGAAAAGGAGGAGGAGGGGAGGAGGAAAAGGATGTTTGTCTCTTGCTTTTCTCTTACTTTGTATGAAAAGACAAATACTTAAGGGGTGAGGATGCAGCTCAGTGGTAGGTATGTGCTTCTCAGGTACTCGAAAATTAGCAATCCGTAGGATCCATGATCTGCTATTATTATGTTCTAGGCAAATGCATGTCAGTGGAATTACAGATACAGAAGAAGAGAGAATTAAAGAAGCGGCTGCTTACATAGCTCAGAGAAATCTCCTTGCCAGTGAGGAAGGGATCAGGGCGTCCAAGCAGCTCACAGCATCCAAGAGGTCCGCGCACTCCACACAGGCCACGTCCACGCTGGAAAGGGAGGAAAGCCTGGAAAAGAAGTCGAGGGAAGCCACCATCCGAGAAAAGGCAGACCTCCTGTCGCTGAGAAAAACAGTAAGAACAGATAACTTAATGTCACTCACAAGAGTGGAAACACATGTGACACATAGTGTGTGTGTGTGTGTGTGTGTGTGTGTGTGTGTAGATAAGGATTGATTTACTTGAAATGAAGACATACATGGCCTACGAAGTGACGGAACTGAAGAAAAGGAGAGAGACAGCAATTTGTGCAGGCTAAAGAAGGTTTTAAACTTAAGGGAGTTTTCCTGTTTTTGTTTTTATTTTTATTTATTTATATTTTAATAAGGACCTACAGGGTCTCACTACTACATGGGACTCTTAGTGATCCGCCTGTGTTCAGCCTCCCGAGAGCTGGGATTACAGGCGTGCACCACCACACCCAGGCTCAATCACCCTCTCAGCACACCGCAGGGGCAGGGCCAGCACTGCGGGCTGGGGGTGAACCCTGACCACCATGTCTACCTAAGCGGGCACTGTAATCTGCTGAGTATTTGGCCCGCCCTTGTCTTGTATTTTATTTTATTATTTTAAAGAGAGGGAAAAAACAATAAAAATGATACAGAATTTCAAAACAAGATGGTAGGTAATTAGCAGTGGCTGTTATATTGCATGTAGTTACCTTCAAAGTACTTGCTCAGCTTTCCAGGTACAAGCACGCAAAACTGACCAAACTAAATGCTCCTTTCAATGAACTAATAGAAATTAATAGTACAGATACCTTAGCTATCTTGTGTATATGTACATATCTTTTTCCTATTCCTTCTTTTTTCTTTTCCCCCATCATAGTTGTTTTTTCCTTTTAAGCAGTCTCTTTCCCTTTCACAATATCTATGGTAGATTTTGGACCTTATTTACTCTTTTAGCTTCCTTCTTTTTTTTAATGGATGTTTTGGGGGGTTTTTTTGTACAGGGTCTCACTACTCAGCTCAGACTCATAGTGATCCTTGCGTTTTCAGCCTCCCCAGTGCTGGGATTATAGGAATGCATCACCTCGCCCGGACTCACTGGCTGGCTAGCATGCCCAGGGGCAGGGCTGGCATGGCATGTGATGCCAGGATCGAACCCCACTCGCTATGCTTGCTTAAGCAGGCACTTAGTCTATGAGCTATCTTGCCGGCCCTTACTCTTCCAGTTTCTTACACTAGGGAGGCAATAAGATGCTTACAGACACAGATCTGATTTATTTCCTTTGTGAATATGGTCTCTAGTTGCATCCATTTACCTGTAAAAGATTCAACTTTATCTTTTTTATAGCTGAGTAATACTCCATTGCATAAACATACCACATCTTTTTTATCCATTCTTTGGTTGGTAGACATCTGGATTGTTTCCAAGATTTAGCTATGACAAGTTGTGCTGCTGTAATCATGAGTGCACATATATTGCTGTGGTGTTATGTTTTCTCTTCTTCTGGGAAAATTCTCAGAAGGTAAATAGCTCAGTTGAATGGGACCTCCGACCCTTGTTTTTTGAGAAATCTCCACACTGATTCCCACTGGTTGCACCAGTCTGCACTCCCACCAGCAGTGGAGAGGGGTTCCTTTTCCCCCACAACCTCTCCAACATTTGTTATTGGTTGACTTCTTGATGACAGCCATTCTTTGTGGAGTGAGATGAAATCTCAGTGTTGTTTTAATTTGCATTTCTCAAATGACTAATGATGTTGAACATGTTTTCATATACTTATTCACCATTTGTATTTTTTTTAGCTGAGAAGTATGTTTTCATTTCAGAGCCCCATTTTTGAATTGGTTCTTTGAGTTTTGGGGACCTGATTTTGAAAAATTCTTTGTATGTTCTAGATATAAATCTTTTGTCTGAGGAACAGTTGATTAAAAATGTTTCCCCATCAAAAGAAATAAACTGGCCAGTGGGATAGCTCAGTGGACTAAGCGCCTGCTTAGGCAAGCACAGGGACCAGGATTCGATCCTGGTACCATATGTCGCACCAGCCCCACCCTCGGTGCACTGAGGCAGCCACCACAACCAGGTATGTGGCACATGCCTGTAAGCCCAGCATTGGGGAGGTTGAAAACAGGAGGATCACTATGAGTCCAATCTGCGTAGTGAGACCTTGTACCAAATACAGAAAGAAAGAAAGAACCAACAGAGTGAAAAGTAAACAAGCTTTAAACCTCATGGAATTCCAGATTTTAAAGAAAGTAAGATTCTAATGAAGAACCTTGAAAATCTACTTTAGAAATTTTGCCCAAGTTTAGAATATTAAATATTAAATGTTAAATAATTACATCTGTCTTTTTTTTTTTAATTTTATTTATGTATTTTATTTATTTTGTGTGTGGGGCCAGCTCGGCCCACCAGGGGGCAGGGCTGGCTGGCATGTGGTGCTGGGGGATTGAACCGTGGTCCCTGTGCTTTGCTAAGCTTGTTCTAATTAGGTGCTTTAGACCACTGAGCCATCTCACCAGCCCTACATCTGTCTTTAAAAGAGGGGGAAGACAATGTGTGTTATGCAAATGCAAAAATAATCAGATAAAAAACCTAAAATGCTTGCCTCTACCTGTTGTTTTAGCCCCAGAAGTTCCTTTGGCTTAGTAGATTTGGGGTGATGTTTTATTTGTTCCAGTTAGAAGAGACCCAGGCCTATCACGGCAAGCTAAATGAGGACCATCTTCTCCATGCTCCGGAGTTCATCATCAAACCTCGCTCTCACACGGTGTGGGAGAAGGAGAGCGTGAAACTGCACTGCTCCGTGGCGGGCTGGCCAGAGCCCCGGCTCACGTGGTACGTTGCCCTCACGTGGTACATTGCCCTCACGTGGTACGTTGCCCTCACGTGGTACGTTGCCCTCACGTGGTACGTTGCCCTCACGTGGTACGTTGCCCTCACGTGGTACGTTGCCCTCACGTGGTACGTTGCCCTCACGTGGTACGTTGCCCTCACGTTACGCTCACTCTGCTACCATAACCTCTGTTTACCCTGGTGGAGAATAGAGAATTGTAAGATGCAAGGGTCGGGGAGACGTTGCGAGCTTAGAAAGGTTCTCAGGAGTGATGGATGTTGCTCAGGCGTTATGTTTTAGTCATCCTATTTACAAACCAAAGCATGTCAGTAATCACTGAGGACCATTAGGTAAAGCTTTGCTTCCAGAGGTGAACTTTACAATGTGGTACGGTTTCATAAGCGGAAACTTTTTTTTTATGTATTTAATACACGGTCTCCAGGGTCTCACTGTACAGATCAGACTCAGTGATCCTCCTGTTTTCAGCCTCCCAAGCGCTGGGATTACAGGCGTCACCACACCCGGTCTCAATTGCCCTCTCAGTGCGCCCTGGGACCACCGCCAGCAGGGCAAGGGATGCAACAGCCACCCACCCACCCCTCCTATCCCCCACTCCCACCCCCACTCTTCCCACCTCCCCAGTCCCTGTGTCTGCTTAAGCAAGTACTTTAATCTGCTGAGCTACCTGGCCCACCAGAAACTGCTTCTTAAGAAATAACTATCGGGGCCTGCCAAATAACTCAGCGGATTAAAGTGCTTGCAAGCAGGCTCAGGGGCTGGGGTTCTATCCCAGGGTCTGCTGTGCCGGCCTGGTCCCTGGGGCACGCTGAGACGGCAATTGAGACTGGGTGTGGTGACGCACACCTGTAATCCCAGCTCTTGGGAGGCTGTAAGCAAGTGGATCACTACGAGTCTGATCTGAACAGAACACTCTGTAGACCCTTCTCTAAAATACAAAAAAGAAAAAAGAAAAAGAAAGAAATAACTGTCGTCCCCAGGGCTCCCATCTCTGCCCTCACGTGCTGCCTTCAGGGTCACTTCTGACTGCGAATCCAGAGGACCTGGAGGGCAGGCTCCTCTGATGGCCCCGAGGTGCCCTCTCTCCCTGAAGAGAGGTTCTCCCTCCATCGGAGGTCTAATTGCAGCTGTCAGGGCCTCTGGCGTCCTCAGCCGCAGAGCCGCCCTTTCCAACATCAGGAGCCCACTCGAAAAGACGATTCCATGTTACCTGCTGACACGGGTGTGCTCGAGCTGTTTGCCAGGCTCAGCACTTCGGGTGAACGCGCCCCATCGTCGCTGTCCGAGTGCCGCGCACACGCCGCTGCTCCCTTGTGCCTGTCTTCCACCTGCTTTATCCCTAATGTCTGGAGGACACCTGCGGGCGCATCGCTGCGGAGGCGGCTGGTGTGATGAGCCGGTCCACCGGCTCAGAGTCCTCAAGGAGCAGGTGCTAAGGTTTTAAGACTTTGCCTGTGACAGCAGTTTGCCTTCTATAGTTTTCCATCTACTTACAGTTTCTCTGTGTATGTAAACTTTTTTGAGGTTCTTGAATCTGAAAACTAAAGAATGAAAACCAAAGATGGATATGAGTTATTATGGCAAATAATTTAAGATAAACAAAGCTGAGAAGTGTGAGAACATAACTCAGAAAAAATGAAGTTTTAAAGTCAGTTCCGAAGTGTGAAATCTGAAAAGGAGTTACAAACTCTTCTGTGGCCTTTCAAAGAAATGTCACTTCTAAAAATTTGAGAGGGAGCTGGGAGCTGAGCTCAGTGGAACCGCACTGCCGGGCATGAGTGGGCCCCGGCTTCCGCCCTTTCCCTGCAAACAAATGAATTTTAAAGCTGAATTCCCTCCCACCTGAAAAAGATAACCTGAACTTTCCTGTGGAAATCCACAGGCCATGACAAATTGAAAGCCTCAAGATATTATTTAGTGAGTAAAAGTTCTTATTTCATAATTAAAATACATTAATAATAAATGAAGAGTCCCTCATTGAGTAAACATATTTATGACACTTTTTTATCTTTCTTCTGCTTTTTAAAAATTAAAGATAATCTTCACAGTGGCGAAAACATTAAATGTGATATTTGAAAAAGAAAAAAAACTTCAAAAGGATACAAAGTCATCTCTGGTAGATAAATACTGGATTAATTTCTCAAAGGTCCTTTTATTCTGTCACATGCCCAGCAACTGGAACAAAAATCCCAGCCATGTCTCATTGCTGCTGTTATTAAACCGGATTGATTTCAGGAAAACAGAATTCAACCTCAGAGATTAAACTAATGCTTGCGTTACTGGCCTGGAAAAAGAAGTGACTTAAAAACAAACAAAAAGATATTTTAAATCCCCAGAAAAAAATAAATATGGGAGTCCTAACCTGCAACCTTTAGAATTCTTGCTAAATTCAAAAAGAGAAATATTGTCCTTTTTCATTCATCATCTTTAACAGAGTTGAGAAGAGTGATGATTGGCCCCTACGTCCTGCGTGTGTGGCTTGGAAATATTTATTTTGCTTTGTCCCGCGAAGGCTTGGGAGGCGGTTCATTTCCTGGAGCGGCCTCTTGCAGGCCGCACACACTCTTGGCACTTGGAGGGATGACTTCTGTGTCACCAGCCAGCCTGAGTTCTCAGCCACTGAGCGAGACAGCAGAGACGGTGTCGCCACAGACAGGCAGCCCCCAGCCAGCCTCAGCAGTCAGTTGTCCTAGAGGGTCTGCCTGGAGCACTGCACAGACAGCCTTGCCTCCGAAGCTCTGCAAGCAGGGATGGCGAAGCACCAGTTGATCTGTTTCTGAGAGCAAGATCTGCCCCGAAGTTTTTTTAATCACTTGCAGATGATTGACAATTCGCTATGGCAATGTACAGAGTCAGTTCCAGGTTCGTGGGGCAGGAAGCTTATGGGAACCCAAGGTTAGCAGTACAGTTTAGGCTCCAGGCCCGGCCAGGGCCTCTTCGGCCTGGGAGCCTGAAACTCAAGTCTCTCTTGCTGCCACGTAGACTCACCTCTAGGGGGAGCCCCAGTGCGGGATTACGGCCCTTGCAACGCTGGTTGCCTTTGGCTCAACACCCACTCCTGGGTGTTGTAGCTCACTGTGCAAAACGGGTACAGAGTCTCCCGGCTGTGAGCAATCTTCCCCTCAGCGAACGGGAACCCGCCACCCACACCAGGAGCTGGCACTTTTGGGTGCCCGCTGAGTTCAAGGATGAGAGAAACCCTGGGAGGGCCTTCCGGAGCGGCAGGGGTGAAGCGCTGCTGGAGAAGCACATCCTGCCGCCAGCACTTCACGCAGTCAGGTCTTTGCGCACGGTCCAAGAGCCAGGCCGCCCCAACTTTGGGTGGTGGGGGAGCTCGGCTCCAGGCTTCCGCTGGCTACTGCAGTGGGAGCCCCGAGGCCAGCGAATGGTGAGAGTAACTGCTCTCCCACCGGGCACACGGGAACCACCGTCTATCGAAGGGGTACCGGGCTGGCCAGTGAGCGCTGAGCCCCTCCAGGCCCTGCGCAGAGACTGCCGATCTGTTCCCAGTCACTCGGAAGGCGGGGACACCGGGCAGGGGGCAGCCGACCCCAGGGGCTTTGTCAGCAGAAAAGGAAAAATGTCCGTGCCGTGGAAAATACATTTATATGATAATTTACTAGTTTAAAAAGAAACATAATTTATTTGCATAATGGAATTCCGGAAGGAGCGTAAGAACCTACAGAGAGCAGATGACGTCCAGGGAAGATGAAGTGGGCGAGAAGGAGCCATCCTTTGTGCTTTTTGGCTTTGGAGCATAAAAGTGTATGACCTCATCAGACTTAAAATTATGTGAAGTAGAGGAGAAGAAAAGGTTCTCTTGGAGAGAAGGTGAGACTTGTTCAGTTTTGCCCTTTTAAAAAGAGCCATGTCGAGTTGGACTTCTACCCCGAAGCTTAGGTCACGTTTGCGAGTGGAAATCCTGCTTGCGCCGCAGGGAGCTGTGAGAAGCACATTCGCTGGAAGTAGGAGAGGCTTTCTCCAAGGCCAGCACCTGGGCGCGGGAGCTGCGAGTGGATCCTGACCCAGATGCCCAAGTGACACTCACCATGTGTGACTCGAATGCTTCACCTTGGCCTGAAAGTTGCTGTCCAGCAAGCACCTGAAGAAATGTGTCATAAAGAAATATATTTTATAGCCTGGGACTAAAATAATATGAAAAATGTGTCCTAGGAAGATTCCAGAGATTTATAAAGCTTCTATTTTTACAAATTATGAGAATTTATGTAGAATCACTGTCTTAATTCTAAGGCAGAATATATAGATTTATAAAATTAATTTCTTTTTTATTTTTATTAATTTTATTGAGAAAGAAATAGCAACAAGACAGTTTCGAAACAGGTTAGTAGGACAGTTACAATAATTAATACATTGAATATTGTGTCTTCGTAGTAGTTATTCATAGTACAAGATGCAGACATGATATCCTGTCTAAGCACTATTAGTACAAATCTTTCTTTTCATTAAATTAAGAGAAAGTAGCTGTATATCTGTCTATAAGATTCATTTCTAAGCACCTGCTTAGGCAAGCACAGGGACTGGGGTTTGATCCCTGTCACCACATGCTAAGCTGGTCCCACCCCAGGCAATGTTGAGGCAGCCTCAGTGGTGCAGGCCTGTAATCCCAGTGCTGGGGAGGCTGAAAACAGGAGGATCACTAGGAGTCTGAGCTGTGTAGTGAGGCCCTGTACCAACACATTTAAAAAAATAAAGTACATGAAAAACAATTAGTTTAGCATATATTTAAATTTAACAGTTGCTACTATATAATTGTAAGAAAATAGCTTATATTTAAAATAGTTAACAGCAGGACATGGTAATATACCCTAAATGCCAGCACGTGGAAGGCGGAAGCAGGATGACCACCACAAGTATGAGGCCAGCCTGGGCTGTATAGTGAGTTCAAGGTCATCCTGGCCCTGTCTTAAAAGTTAACAAGTTATTTACAAATTTTTTAAAAATCTTTTATTTATTTATTTATTTGGTACAGGGTCTCTCCACACAGCTCAGACTCATAGTGATCATCCTGTCTCAGCCTCCCCAGTGCTGGCATTACAGGCATGCGCCGCAACTCCCATTTTCAGGGCTGGCATGGCATGACGTACCAGGGATTGAACCTGGGTTCTTACACTTGCCAGGTAGGCTCTTGGACCACCGAGCTGTCTTCCAGCCCTAAAAATTATTACAATATCTCAAAATAAGGATTTGGAGGTTTATTTTAGATTTTTCTTATTTACTGAGTTCCCAAATTTATCCTAATGGGACAGACCTCTCTCTCAGGTAACTGGCTGCTGGAGTGGGTAGTAGCTATTCATGATTTAAGATTGGATTCTAAGCAGCAACCCCATGAGATTCAACATGTTCAAGATCATTTTGATATGTATTATTTGTTGATAAAAAAATGTATCATGAAGCCTTTTTGCCTGCCATATTTTACACTGCCAAAGGGCTTTCCTTCTAAGCCCTCGTTACTAAAGTCAGTTAAAACAGCATTTGTATGAAAGGGCAGTATAAATGTAAGTATGTGTTTTATGCACATAAATGAAAAAGAATCACCGAGTGACAGCATGTTCATAGGCTACCTAAAAATAGTACCCGAGATGATGGCCATCTGAGCACTCCCTGGGGGCACAAAGGCTCTTGACAGCCCCTGGGTGGGATTATTGCCCTCCAAAATTAGCCTATGGCAGGCCAGTTTGGAATTTCACGTTCCAGAAATAAGAAGCTGTGTATAAGAAGCGGACCAAAAATCCTTTCCTTTCTCACTCGATCCTGAAGACACAGATCTCAAATGACCCCACACCTGAAGGCCTCTAAAGTGAAATGCACTGCAAAATAGACTGCAATTGCTTCTAGACTTAATCCTTCCTATTCCTTTAGACAAGCGTTTGCCTCACTAGCATCTAGTGGCCCCGAGGAAAGACAAGAAGCTCTGTGGCTAAAGTGTTACGTGTGCCTCCAACCTAGCTTCTCTGCCAGGCGGTCACAGGAGAAGACCCGTGGGTGCTCAGCCGGGGAGGCACGAAGGTGCTAAGGCGAGGAGGGCTGGGTGGCAGGGCGGGTGATGCAACCCTGGGAGCCGCAAAATACTGGTTCAGCTCAAACTTCACAGGGGCATGGACGGCATTGCTGAGCAGACGCCAGCCCAAGTGTCAGTTGCTTGTCGGGCAGGGCGTGGCACAATGCTAGTGCTGCGAGCTCTCCAGTGCCGAGAGGAGCTGCTGAAAGCCCTCCAGCCTGTGAGGCCCAGGTCCACAGTGACTTAAGCCAGCACGGAGAAGCTGCCTGGGAACATGCTCTCTCCTGCCACGCTCACAGAGGGGTGTGGGGGAGGTTGGGAGGAGCTCGCAGCTCATCTGATGGAGTCCTCCTGGCTGGCAGAGTGGAATGGAAGCCGCTTCTGGGCTGGCAGAAAGTAGTGTGGCACCAACCACAGAGGTTTTCTGTGTGTGTGTGTGTGTGTGTGTGTGTGTGTGTGTGTGTTTGCGTGTGTGTGGCCCCACAGCCACAGCTGCCGAGCAGCTTCGATTCTTGGGCTGGGCTAACACCTTCCACTTCTTAACAAGGGCAGCAAGGCTCGGAGAGCCCCAGCTTCCTTCCTTCCATGCACTCCCTTAGAAGCACGCACATGAGGAAGCTTGTACCTGCCTGAACTCTGTTCCTTTTAAAAAAATGAAGCTTCCAAATGGTGTTTTGCAACTTACCTATTCCATTATGTCACACAATACTTCTGTCCAATTGGACTTGACCATTGTGTGCCTCATATTGTTGACTTATCCTTCCCAAGTGCGGGATGGAAGCAGGCACAACCAGACGTCATCCCCACCTTCAAGGGACTCACAACTTGGTAGAGTGGCACGGTCCAACTGTCATTTGATACATGTTATCTTTATGTAACTGTTCCCTTGATATGTATTGATATCTTTCTTGTGAACCAAGTCACTGACTCAGACGTGGGATCCACTCCCGCTGCCTGGGGTTTCAAGCAGGGGTCCTCCGAATCAGTGGTGCTGGGTCTCACTCTTCAAGGGTGAGTTGGGGTTTGCTAGGTGCAGGAGAGCAATGCATGTTTATTTATTTATTTATTTATATTATTTTTTGTATCTTAGGGAAGGGGCTACAGGGTGTTCAGGGTCTCACTACTAGATCGGATTCGTAGTGATCCGCCTGTTTTCAGCCTCCCAAGAGCTGGGATTATAGGTACACGTCACCATACCCAGTCTCAATTGCTGTCTCAATGTGCCTGGGGGCCAGGGCCGGCACTGCATGCCCAGGGTTCAAACCTTCAGCCCCTGTGCCTGCTTGCAGGCGCTTTATTCCGCTGAGATAATTGGCCAGCCCTGAGTAATGCATTTTAAAAAGGAGAAAAACAAATGATGTGCTTTAGGAAGTATATTGGCTTTTCATGGCTGTATCAAAGCATCCATGGCTGCTGACTAATCTATAAATAAAAGAGGTTAATTCATGCATCAGCCACACAAGGAATGGGCACATCATGTACTGCAAATGTGGACTAATAAAGAGAGAAAGAATAAATCATTTAAGTCAACTGCTTTTTCAATACAGTGGCACTGATTTTAGCAACACACAAGAATGTTAGCAGCAAGAATATTTGCTTTTCTCCTACAAAGACAGCCAACACCAGAAAGTCTTGTTCTGTGTTATGACAACGTCTGAGCTTCCTGACGGAAGTATAACATAGTCACAAGCAGTGTTTGTTACACAAAGATGTAGCGCTCTGGTGAATTTGTATCCATGGAGCACATTCACTTCACCAGCACTCAAATCAAGAAACCAAACAAACAAGGAAGACACCTCCTGCGGGTGCCCCACCCCACCCCAGGATTTCAAATCCTGACTTTCAGCAACATTAGATAACCTTTTAGCTTATGCACTTTTTTTTTTTTGGCAGAACAGGGGTTTGAACTCAGACCCTTGCGCTTGCTAGGGAAGTGCTTATTCTACTGCGCCATCTCCCTGGCCCCTGCACTTTTAAATAAAAGCAAGCATTATGCTATGTAAATTTTAGTGACTGGCTTTTTTTTTCAAAACATGTGCACAGTATTTGTTTATTTTTTTGTGAACAGTTCAAGATTTTCATGTAAATATTATGGAAGATAGGAAAGCACTTTGGCAAGGCGTTTACTGTCCATGGGTGAGCACAGCCATCTACTGCTTGCCCACTGACAAAGGCACATCAGGCTTGCAAAGCAGAGCCTGGCACGTGTGTGTCTCCATGGACCCCCTGGGGACTCAGGCTTATGATTCACATGAAGGAAAGTACACAATTAATCACCCAGGGTTTTGATATAACATAATTAAGTGCATAAGTTTCCTTTGGAGATTGACTCCTTGCCCCCTACCTAGTACACCTGCAGAAAGGGACCAGCCTAAGCCAAGCACATAGGAAGTTTAGAGTCAAGATCTTGAGGCAGTGATAAAGTACCCCCAAGGGTTGGGAGTTTCGGTAGGGCAGAAATAGTCAGGACAGGAAGAGCAATGGTTGATTAAGTTCCATGTTTACTCCTAGTTTATATTGTGTACTCATATTAATCAAAATTGGGGGCCTGGCCCTAGCTCAGGCCTTTAAGTGGCTGCTTCCACAAAGCTGTCAGCCTCAGGTTGCTGGAGTTCGAACCTCACACCTCTCCAGCTGGCCA